TTCACTTGCGCTGGACAAAAGCACAGGACACTTTATATCTCTGTCCTATTTGCACATTCTCTTTAGTTTACTCACAATTTCATAGCAACTGTTAGGAGAAACTTTTCATGTCAGGCTTGGTCTGAGAGACTCTGAGACCCACTACTGAACGTGAGGACTCTGCTCAGCACTCTCATAGCCTCATGTAGCCACAATAATGCTAATTTAAAACTATATGCAGCCTGAGGATTTTTAGTTGACCAAAGTTGCAAATGATTGCCACAGAAAGTTTACACTAGACTCCTCATCTGGGACATCCCTTCCATCTCCTTTTCCCTTGTTTTCAGATCATAGTATCTCTCTACTACCTTCTTTTCTAAGACAGCTGCTTTTAGGCTGTAAAATTCTATAGTCATGGATTGGATCTGTTTAAGTTCCCCAATACTAATCAGAAGCTTTCCAAAGAATAGTTGAACAATTAATATTTGGACAATTAAAGCACATATAAGAACTCAAATTTATTAGGATTTAATTTCGTCTACATTCCTGAAAAAGCTAATTCTATCCAAGCAACATGTATACAGATTTTACACTTTTTAAAAAAGATTTATTTATTTTTATTGCAAAGTCAGATATATATAGAGAGGAGGAGAGACAGAGAGGAAAATCTTCTGTCCAATGATTCATTGCCCAAATGATCGGCTGGTGCTGAGCCGATCTGAAGCCAGGAGCCAGGAGCTCTTCCAGGTCGCCCACATGGGTGCAGGGTCCCAAGGCTTTGGGCTGTCCTTTACTGCTTTTTCCAGGCCACAATCAGGGAGCTGGAGGGGAAGCAGGGCTGCCGGGATTAGAACCTGTGCCCATATGGGATCCTGGCACATGCAAGGTGAGGACTGTAGCTGCTAGGCAACCATGCTGGGCCCCAATTTTACAGAGAACTTTTAGGGAAATTACATTATTCTATAATGGTAGATACATGCTTGTTAAAGGTTAATCCAGACTAACAGACTGTACAATACTAAAAGAACCCTAATATAAACTATGGACTTGGAGTGAAAGTGAAGTATCAGTGTACCTGTGTAGTTTCGTCAATTGTTACAAATCTATCACTTTGGTGATAAGTGGATATAGACGCACAAGGAAACCTCTTTGTTTTGATAGTACCTATATGGAATTCTAATTTTCTGCTCAATTTTGCTGGGTACTTAAAAGTGGAATAAAAATTAAGTTAAAAACAAAGAACTGATAAGTCTGTTTCAAATCCTGCTCAGAGAATCTAAGAACTAAGTTAAAGGGACTGAACTCTGTTTTCTCCTCTATTCAGAGTGTCAGGGATTCCCTTAGTCCTCACGTGGTTTCCTTGATTTGACTCCTAAATAAGGTTTGGGACTCCTTTACTTTCTGACCTGAGTACAAGTCCTCATAGAGGGCTCATAATCCCCTGATATTAAATAGGAGGAAGTGAGGGTAACCTTATCTAGTTACAACTAACCATGGTCTCCGAAACGTGTCAACAGTGGCAGACAGATTAAAACCTCATGATTTATTGCCCCATAAGTCTCCTCACTTAGGATCCTGTATCTGACCCCACAAGAAGTACTAATATTCCTCTCTCTGCTTTCCTCAGACTCCAATTCTGCAATTCCACGCCCCTCCTCCCCCGCCGCTACCAAAATGCTCAACTATGTTACTCCTGTGGCTACAAGGGTGTTGTACCTGACATTTATGCCTGGATCTCTCAGGACTGAAAATAGAGAGGAATCCATATGGTTCCCACTTACAAAGGATTCCTGTATGTCTCAGAACACTTATCTTTATCCTGGAACACCTTGGAAATCCTTCCTCTTAAGAACCCAAGACAGTCAACCTCAGATAAATGTCTTTTTTTTAAAATATTTATTTTTATTGGAAAGTCAGATATACAGAGAAGAGACCGTGAGAAAGATCTTCCGTCTGAAGATTCACTCCCCAAGTGAGCACAACAGCCAATGCTATGCTGATCCGAAGCCAGGATCCAGGAGCCTCTTCCAGGTCTCCCAGAGGGGTGCAGAGTCCCAAGGCTTTGGGCTGTCCTCGACTGCTTTCCCAGGGCACAAGCAGGGAGCTGGATGGGAAGTGGAGCTGCCAGGATTAGAACCGGTGCCCATATGGGATCCCGGTGCGTTCAAGGCAAGGGCTTTAGCTGCTAGGCCAAGCCGCTGGGCCCCAGACAAATGTCTTACCTTTACTGATATGTCCAAAGGAGAATTCAGAACTAGCCACATCATGCCAATACTGCTTGGGAACAGTATGGGCTGACATGACAGCTGGGTTGGGAGTCTACAGGTCACACTGCTCTGGGTGTGTGTGAGTGCTTCCCTTATTTCTTTGTCCATGCCCTCAGCTTGATATGAATCACAGACTCTACTGAACCAAGCTTAGAGTAGGATTTAAGAGTGGAACTTTGGAGAAGTGGGAATGGTCAGGTTAACAACTCATTCTCGAACGTTGCTCTCCTTAGTCTATATCTTAGCTCTTGCCTTTGATTAAAGACTTCTTGGAAAAGGTCACATTTCTTGAACAGTTTCCCTATGAGACTGCAGAGAATGGGTTTCTATCCTAGGAGTGATCTGAGGAAGATAAAATGCAAGGCAGGAGTCCAAGGACAGACACTGAACTGTCAGATGAAAAAGATGCTGATCTTTTCTTTGTATCAGGCAAATTTAACTTCCTAATATTTAGGTTTGAAATGATTTAAGGTTTTCAAAGGAAGAAGCTGTCCCTGTGATCTTTTGAGGTTGTCTTGACTTTGCATGGTTAGATAAATATACTGTCACTGAACAATATCACCCTTTCTCCTTAATGTACACTTCTCCATCATTTTAACATTGTTATTGATCTGGCTATGTATCCCAATCCTGTATACTGTGCCTGAAGTCCTTTTAATCGCCTGAGACACCTGAGGTAGTGGAAACAATGGTGACTCAAGGGACACAAAGTCAGTCTCTGGTTGGGAGACACAGAATGGGATGGGTTTTATACTAATTCAGTCCAGATATCTGTCCCAGCCCCATCACTTATCTGTCATGTAAAATGGGACACATAAACTAACTCTAGGGTTTCAGGTTTTCCTGAAGCAAAGTAATTTCTTTAGTCCTTTCATATAGGAAAGGTGGAATAAAATATAATGAATGTAAAACACTTGGAATGTTTAAAACAACAGAAGTCCACATTATGATTTATTTGTCTCTGACATGATCTGGGATTTATTTTTCAATCCAGGAGATGTCATTCTAACACAAAGAAAACCTTGTCATATAAAATGCTACTTAGCAAGGGAAGTCAATTTAATATTGTTTCATATTGTTAACCTCGTAATCCATGCAAAGTCAGTGTGAGGTGTATTCTGTCGATGTAACACAAAATTTCTAATGTGTGCTTCAAGGACTCCCATTGTTTCTCCCTCCACATTCATAACCATTTTCATTCATTTAACCACCACCCCAAATCCACCTTGCCTGAGGTTTGTTCTATCACACTCAAGATAACATAGTCAAATTGCATTTTAATGGAGAAGCTTCTGGATTCCCTCAACTCAGGTCAAACTGCGAAAAAGCACAGTCAGTGGGGCCTGGCTCAGTAGCCTAATGGCTAAATTCCTCACTTTGCACATGCTGGGATCCCATACGGGTGCTGGTTTGTGTCCTGGATGCTCCACTTCCCTTCCAGCTCCCTGCCTGTGGCCTTGGAAAGCAGTCAAGAATGGCCCAAAGCCTTGGGACCCTGCACCCTTGTGGGAGATGCAGAAGAAGCTCCTGGCTCCTGGCTTTGGATCGGATCAGCACGAGCCATTGGGGCCACTTGGGGAATGAATCAAGAGACAGTGATCTTTCTATGTCTCCTTCTCTCTGTAAATCTCTCCAATAAAGAAATAAATAAATTTTTAAAAAGCACAGTAGCTTCTGAGCATCACACCTTCCCTGAGTGTGTCACCTTATTTTTGAATAACTCCCTGGAGGTGGTATGTACAGAACATTCAGTGTGTGCACCGTGTCAACTTGCACTGGGTAAAGAACACAAGATGCTTTCTGCTCCCTCCCCAAATGACTATTCTTTCTGGTTTTCCTACAATCCCAAAACAAATGTTAGGAACAATGTTCATCTCTCCACTCTAAGATGCACCATGTGAGGACGTGGGTCCTGCTCATCACTCACACAGTCTCCCTTACATCACCTCCCATTGAGGGACTTGCATCTCTGCAAAGCCGAAGACTACCTTGAACAGGTGATTTATACTTGACTGCCAAAACCTCTTCCCTTCCTAATCCTTCTTTCGATTTGTCCTTTTAGTCTTAGGACACCGTCATCCTCCTTATGCGATAGCTGCCTCTCAACCTTTATAATTGTATGGCCTGTTGCCAGACCTTCTTTTCCTCACACCTCCTGAGGAGCTCCCCAAGAGCAGATGCACAATTAGTGTTTGGAGAACAAATAAACCTGTGAGCATGGGGTCTAATTTATTGTGATTTAATTCTGTATTATTGAAAAAGCCAGCTAATACAGTTATACATCTTTTAATTTTACAAAATACAGAGTAAAAGGGCTTAAAAGCACACTATTTAGCATATGATGGTTTTTCTTTATCAAATCTATATAACTGCTTTTATCTCACATTTTCAAGAAGATCCTTATTCCAGTTCTACATAACCTTGCAGATCACTAAAAAAGATGGACTTTTTTCAAAACCCTCGCAGTTATACATTATAAACCAGTGTGACCAATACAATCCATGAACTTAGATAATTCTGAACAAAAGGAACCTCTGAAAAAATAACAAGAAAATAAGATAAATCTCTAAATTACCCAGACAGAACAAGAACATAAAATCATGAGACACTGCGTTCCCTTAAATCACATCCAGACCTCTACTGTTTGGAACAGTGACTGCTTGCTCTTAACTACAAAGTGAAGAATTGGACTAAACTTTCTTAGGTGTGGGAGGAGCTGCTAAACATGACCCTGGCACATTCTGCTTGCTACCACTAAGTGTCACTGGCTTCAGCACGCTCCCTCTCATCTCTCAATGCCTCTTCGTACCTGGTTGAGAAGGCACTGGGCACTGTGTTATGGATCTTGGCCAGAAACTCCAGGACTTTCATCTTGCTGGTTTCAGCATAGGCTCTGGGACCCCACAGGAACTCATAGCATGCAGGATCACTGTTAGGAACCTGGCGGTACTCCAGGTATTTAAGCTTCACAAAGTCTTTGGTGATGAGCTTCCTGGGCTCCCCAAATAAGAAGTGTCTCTTTCCAGCAAACACCTTCATCTTATTCAGGAATTCCCAGATCGTCTCCTCAGAAGCACTGTTGCCCTTCAGAAAGATCACAGCCAAGATATTCATCAGGAGACCAGTTTGGGGAAGCCCCCTGCTACGATTCAATACCCCATTGTTGGGGAGATTCATTTTGCTGACAAGAGTGTAGGAGTGCTCAGTAGAATCAACTTCCTTCAGGTCAACACCAAAAACCACCTCTATGTTGCAAGTAGCTCTTTTAAGAATCTCAAGGAAATCTTTTTGGTACTTTTTAGGTATAATTTTCAGCATATCAGCTTTCATAATAGGCTTTTTCTTTTTAGATGTGTGCATTATGAACTGCACCAATGTCCCTGCAATATTGGTTAGAGCATCTCTTGGAGACCTCACAGTGGAGACTGGGGCTTGAGAAGAACTTTGTTTTCTCTTGATGGCTCTTTTGGATGAGCTTGTTCCAGGAGCATCTATGGATGCTGTGGTAGATGCGGCTCCCTGTTGCTTAAGAGCATCGCATGAACCGGCAGCAACCTTTCTCCGGGTAGTAACTCCAGAAGATGAGGGCTGGGATTCCCCTTCAGCTGCAGGGGCCTGTGCACTCTGGCGGCCACTAGTCTCATCTTTGGCCTGGGGTCTTCCACTAGCTTTGAGCTTTTTTCTCTGCCTCAAAGGCATGATGACTGTGGTCAGAGAGCAGGCTGGGATGTGGACAGGAAAACAGGTGGTTCAGGTACCTGAAGGAGATAGCATGAGAGGGTGAGGGCACCTGTAGCAAGGAAAGGCCACCTTGGCTTTCAAAAGGCATCTCTGCAGTTTCTCTGAAAACACCTCTGTTTCTTATAAGGCTACCCTCTGAGAACCCAGTGGAAACAATTACAGCATGCCGCAGACTGCAGCCTGCCATCAGGCCTAGTGTATTCTAGGACTGACAGCAGAGGCAGCAAATCTACATCCTGCACAGCACCAAATCTGACATCTCCAACTAATGTTCTTAGCTCTTTGAAGTTTCCTAATAGGAAGTAGAGGTGTGCCTTAGCCCATTACCACTGCCAGGAGGCACTCAATGCCAAGAGCTCTATGGAGGCCTTCTCTGTCATGTGCTCATTGGAGTCCTGAGTCCTTGTCCAAGCCCCTCCTCTAGGCTGTCCCCAGGAGTTGGGACATTTACTGATGCCTCTCCCTTCAGACAAAGATACCATCACCAAAAAGAAGAGTTAACACATACCTGACCTCCAGGCTTGCATTCCTTAGGGCTACAAGCAGTATTGGGGGAGATTCTATTTCCTTTTTTTCAAGGGTGAATGTCAGAGGTTCAATAGGCTAATCCTCCGCTCATAAGGGCTAGCATTCCATATTGGTGTTCACAGTTACTCTAGGGTTAGAGAAGTGTCAGAAGTTATGAGACTAGGGAGAGAGCTTCTCATCAGGACTCAGGGTCTTGGTTCTGAGTTCATTTAGGACCTGATGAATCTGTTCTTGCTAAATCGGAGCTATTCCCTTAGAGAAAGGCCTTTTCCTTCCTGAGACTTGCAGGCAGGATTCAGTTTCACAGCCTCTGGGGACCTCTCAGAGGTGCCTCAGAGGCATGGTGCTTAGTGGAAACTCCTTGGTTGTAAAATAAATACGTTCTCAGTACCTACTAGGAGTCCTCACCTTGGTTCCAAATGGTACTGGAATTCACCCCTGAACAAAAGGACACTCTCTACATCTCACCCTGTGATCTTCACCTTCCAAGTAGAAGGAACGAAGAATCACATCTGATCATAGCTGCCTGGGTCTCTAGGGCTGGCAGCAGAGGTGGAGCACAGGGGTCCCAGTCTGGAGTTAGTGACCCTTAGGTGTTCACTTGATATTTAGCAGAGCCTGACAGTGCTTCCTCTACTGACCCAAGGTCACCAGCCTCATTTATGTGGAGGGCTTTAGACCTCCTATCCTTGAATCTCTAGAGAGGGAATCTGGATCCCAGTCCCACAGGTTGACAGTAGGAGTGGGTCTCTGTGAGTCTCCATTTTTTGAGGAGAGGACCTCTTGACACCACTTACAGCACTCAACTTGCTGCTTATTCAAACCAAGAAAACTCCCTCTTCATAAAAGGGTCCAGGGCATATTAGATACTGGCACTCCTCTCCCAGGAGCCTGCTAGGTAAAAATGAGGGGTCTCTCTCAGTCTGGTGACTGTGCTTTGTGCCTCACAACAGTGGACGGGTTCTGCAGAGGCTGCAGTTTCTCCCTATTGTGACCTGAGTCTAGCAGCCTCTAAGCATTATCACTGCCTTCAGTCCTCAGGGCATAAGTCTAGACATACTACAAATGATTAGCATTTCCTGAAGCCTCACTGTGCTGGAGACAGGGTTGGGGCTCTTGGGGGCCCACTATTTTAGGGACCGGTCCTGTGATAATCATGGTCATTTTCACTCTGCCTTCAGTTCATATCAAGACTCCTCACTCTGAAGAACTAAGGCTGCCCTAGGAGAAAGCCCTATTCCCCCTTAGGCCCTCCTGGTGGAAATGAGGAAACCTTTGACTTTTAAGGGCTCCACCTGCCATTAAGAACAGAGGCAGGGCTCAGTGATATTAATTTATGTGTAAATGTAGCCAAGTCTTCTTTCCTCACTCAAAAACCTCACCATACTGCTGCAGAGTCCTTGGACTCCACTGTCACTGACTTGCATTCTGCTCAGATAAAGGTCCTCTTCTGAGATCTCCCAGGTAGAGGCCAGGAAGAGCCTAGGCTAGTGGTATTGGGGTCTTGCAAGAGTTGACAGCAGAGTTAGGTTTCAATGGGATACCACTGTTCTGGTTCCCCATTTTCCTTGTTCAAAGTCTATCTTGACTTTTACTAGTCTTTGGGGTCCTCCCTCTACTGAGGTCTACCTTCCTTCGTCCAAGTCTCACTTCCCTGAGAACTATGAAGAGAGGATGCTCAGTCTGACTTTTCTGCTTGGGGCACTCTAGGACTGAATATGTCTGGTCCAATCTCTAAATTACCTTCTTTATTTGCCTCCTCAATACTAATTTACGAGGGAGTCCTCATTGTTTTACTCCTGTCTCTTGGTTTAAAGGCGTACTGGGAATTGTCACATCTTTGCATATTCTTGGGAAGTGTTCCCAATACAAATCTTGCAGGTCCACATACCAGCAGGTCTAATGTGGGACCTAAGTTCTGTTCCAGGTAGAGAGGAGTTTCACAAACAGTATTAAGAGTTCAGACCAGGAGTCTAGTCACTGACCAACACTGTGATCTTGAGAACCCTATCAAACTCCAAGACAGAAACTGAAACCAACAAAATGATGCTTAGCAAGGAAAATTATACAGTGTAAGTAGGTTTATGGGACAATGATCCCCAGAGCGCAGCACAGTGGATTTGTGGCACCCCCTACCTCAGGGTACACTCTGATTTTTGGGAACCACCTGGTGACAATGTGTATAGAAAATCTAGTATGTGCACTAAGTTTCATAATGTGAGAACAGGCAATCAGCACTTTTTCCATACCTGAGTCAAAGTGGAGGTTCTTTCTGGTTTTCCCATAATCCCAAAGCAAATGACAGGAACAATGTTATATTCCAGCTTTGGTGGCTCCTCTCAGAAGTAGCATCTGAGGACCTGGCCACTGCGTACCACTCCTACAATGTCAGCCACCCCACCCTGCAGCCTTGTTAACAATACCTCCCACTCAGGAATGTGCAGTTCCTTAAGGCTCCACAATGTTTTACCTTAGGACAATTACACTTGATTGCTCTAATCTGAATTTCCTCCTTTCCTTGTTCCTTCTTTTATCTGTTGTTGAAATCAGAAAGCATTTAATCATCTAATTTTATATGACAGCTGCTCCTAGACTCTTTTGGAGAGAAGAGGAAAACATTCCCAGTACTAACGTGAAATCTTTCAAAGTGCTGACACTCATTTAATGATTGAAGGATAAGCAAAAGAATGAGCACGAAGTTTAAAATATCAAGACTGACATTTTTCTATAGTCTTTGATAATCTAAGAAAATTCAAGTAGACAACTTATAATTTTATAAGAGAAAGTCTAAAGAAAGTAAAAGAATAATCTTTAAAAAAATATTTGAAAGGGAAAAGGGAAAATTAGACAAAGAGGCACACAGAGGGACAGAGAAAAAGAGAGACACACACAGAGAGAGAGAAAATGAATGAAAATGAATGAATGAATCTTTCATTCACTGGTCCACTATCCAAATGCCTTTGATGGCCAAACTGAAATGCATTTCCAGGTGCATCACCAGTGAAGTGGATGTTAAGCAGAGAAGTTAGGACATGAACTAGTATCCATATGGGGTGCCAGTGCTGCAGGAGGTGACTTAGCAAGCTGCACCACAGCACTGGCCCTGAGAATTGAGAGTTTTTTTTTTTTTAAAAAAAAAAAAACATTGCATAGTGGTAAAGCTGCCACCTGCAACAACAGCAGCCCATATGGGCACCAGTTAGTGTCCCAGCAGTTCGACTTCTAATCCGGTTCCATGCTAATGACTTCAGAAGAGCAGAGGCAGATAGCCCACATGTCTGAGCCGCTGGCACTCACATGGGAGACTCTGCTGAAGCTCCTGGCTTATTCTAGCCCAGTGTTGCCTGTTGTAGACATCTGGAAGTGAGCCAACAGAGGGAAGATCTTTCGCTAAAATTTTGACTTTCAAAATAAATAAGTAAATAATTTAAAAATTCTATGATGAAATTTGTGGGAGAAAGAGGAACAAACAGAAAGAGTAAGCTCCCATCTGTTGGTTCACTCTGTAAATACCTGCAATCTAGGCATTTAGGTGGCCAGATCTAACTGCTTGAATTCTCAGTGGCTGCCTCCCTGTACGTACTAATAAGAAACTGCAATTTAAAATCTGAAGTGGGCCTCAAACCCACACTCTCCAATGTCTGTGTCTAATATCAGTGTCTAAACTACTAAGGCAAATGCCCATACTTTTCTTCATGTATTGAGCCATCAATTTTACTGTAGCATTTACTGACATTGCCAAGAAATCACCATTTATATAACATTTCCAAAGAAGACACAACTATGTAACAAATGCATATAAAGGTATTCAACATCTCTAAATATACAAAAATAGAAATCAGACCATAATGAGATGACATCATTTCATGTCTTATGATGGCTGGTGTTAAAAAGAAAAACTAAATTTTTTTGAATGTGTGGCTAAAAGAGTACCCCTGAAAACTGCTGCAGGGAAGTTCAGTTGCTACAGACACTTTGGAAAACTGTATGAAGGTTCTTAAAAAAAATAAAATAACCCTGAACACAATGGTCCAGACTCTCCATTCAAAAGACATAAACTGTCTGAATGGATTAAAAAACAAGGCCCATCTATCTGCTGCTTGCAAAAAACACACCTCGTAGCAAAGATATACAAAACTGATTATGAAAGGATAGAAAAGCTTATTCCACGGTAAAGGAAAGCAGAAAAAGAGCAAAAGTAGCCACCCTAATATCAGACAAAATAGATTTTAACACAAAAAGCTGTCAAAGGAGATAAAGAAGACAAAGACAAATTACATGATTAGAAGTGACAAGAAGTGACTAGTAAATGTAATATATACCCAATACTGAGAGAGGAGTTAGAGTGGGTAGTAGGCAGGTAGGGTATTCTGGGTCCCCGAGTAAAAGAGAATTTCCCCACCATGTCTTGAACTCACCAGAGCACATCT